AAACAAACAAACATTTAAAATGAGTTTAACCAGTTGAGGCATTTAGAAATTTCTTTACTTCTGAATATTGTTTGATCTAGCGATCCCAGAAGGCAATTTAAACAACATTATTACCTATGTAATATTCGAGTCCCGGCCCCACCTTTTCGTAAATAGGGGAGAAGCATCGAGGCATATAATGGGGCCAAATCTAAAAATTAGATTAATGCATGACATTAGCTTGGACCCAACGACATTTCAGGGGGATCAATTTCCTGTCGCTTCCGTTAGCGCCGGCCCTATAATATTCTCACCTAGCGATAATTATGTTTTGTGGTTCGCCAATTTTCTTTACGGTGTGTCTGTCTGTTAACGCATAAATGTAAATTGAGACAATTTTTAAACATTACCCTCTCCATGTAATAAGAAAGGAAGGTATCAGAAAACAGCCAAAAAAATTCATCAGTCTCTTACTCTGAGGATTTTTGATTGCTAACCTGTTTGGGGGACTATAAATATGAACTAGTATTTAGATTATCTTAAATATGTAGGTTTAAAAGCTTAATAATTTACATTGTTGTTGAAATTCATTTTGAAGAAATTGTGCCTTGAAAATTTTTGTTATGATAAATAATATGTATGAAGCGAAAACAAACTGAATAATAAAATTTGATCAAACGTTCAAATAATTTTGTTGAACTTTCTAAACCTCTGGTTCCCAATAGGTAGCTTGTGGGCTACGACCCAACAATGAAACCCAGCTTATGCCCCTCCCCACCTCTGTATTATACGGTTTTCACAATAACTTAGTACAGATAATTTGTCTGCATTCAATAATTATACATGTAGTAAGATAAATGTTGTATTTTCTTCGAAAATGGCATTTTACTTGGTTATTAAACCATGACACCAGAAAAGGCGTGGCATACACGATGGTTAGTTCATCAGGATGCGGATCAAAAGGTTTGTGTTTCTAGATGTGATACAACCAAATACTGGCGCTTTATAAATGAAACAGTCAATCCCGTTATTTGGTTCTAAAAGGAGAACGATGCTCTTGTGCTCATACGGTGTCATTCAGATCGGGTGCTGTTGTGGTCTCTAACGTCGCTACTTACCCCCCGTGCTCATACGATATCATTCTGCTTGGTGCAGTTGTGGTTTCTGATGTGGCTACTTACTCCCCCCCCCCCCGCGCATACGGCATCATTCAGATTGAACATTCCAGTTCTTAGTTATGCAATCAATAACTCCAGTTAAGCGTCCTAGTGGTTATCGTGTTGAAATGTGAAACTGGGGTTACGTGGTTCTTGTACTGTTACTAACAAAAAATAAGTGAATAATAATAATAATCGCGCTCTGAAATATTAGACAGTGGGGGGGACTATAAGAGTAACGGTCAAATCCCACTATACCGACTGACAATAGTAGCCCACGATTTGGCGGTGGGCAGCATTGACTAGCTGTAGTCCCTTCAGTCTATCACTTCAAAATTAGACGCGATTAGCGCGGATAGCTCTTCGTGTAGCTTTTTGCAAATCTTCCGCTCGGTTAGAGGTAAGTTTATAAAATCCTGGGTTCGATTCCCTCAGTGTGCATAACGCAAATAACCCATTGTGTGGGTTTATGCTTAAAAAAAGAAATACACAAGAGCTTTCAGCGAAGAGGGATCTGCTGGTCTCTGAAGGTTCCTGGCTTTTTTGCCAAAACATCTACTAAGGAAAGAACGAACGAACTTTCAGCGAAATCCAACAAACAAACAAATTACGCGGCCTTCGTGAAAAGATAATTATGTGTCAATGCTGTAAGCTATAGTAGTAACAGTACCTAAGATGCCTCTAGCGAAGAACTACAGCAACTACTGAGAAAACAAATAATGCATTTAGGCTTAAAGGCATCTATGTACTTAACTATACGTAAACAGTCTAAAATTATTTTTAAAGAAAGTTGAATGATATATATATATATATATTCTAGTTGTTCATGCCTATTTGGTCAACATTGAATTGTGAACGATGTGGCATATGAGACTCTTTCACGTGTATTGATTGATATTTAACAACAAAATAAACCATCTGTGTTCAACATTCTACATTATTTACGTGTTTACTGATACAGAAATTACAATAGCTTCAAGTGCCACTAACCTGCCCAGGATTTTGGACACACATCCATGAGATACTCGAAGCTGTCTGCTGATATCACAGGGACGCACTCCCTGGTGAGCCAGTTCAACAATTCTCTGTCGGACAACATCAGGTAAAGGACGACCGTTGACGAAAACCCCTCCAAGCTGGTTGACTCCCCCATGGCCTAGAAGGTATATGGAGACACCTTTTTCCGTTATAATATTTCCATAGTTAGATATGTTCTTACAATTATAAATAATTAATAATTTGTTAAATTATATATATAATCATAAGCACAATTTGTAAAATATACAACAACAAACTGGTTGCAATCAAATATTGGTTAAACCACCATAAAGTTTACAGTAATCCCAAACTCAGCAGCGTACCTGTTTCACATACTACCTGTGACAATATATAAATGAAAAAATAAAGGTTACTCCTATTTGTCTGGTAAGGAATAAAGCCACAATCGGCTATATTCTATGCCCACCGCGGAGACTCGAATCCCGAATGTTAGTGTACACACCACTGCCCTCAATCCTCAAAATTATTTAACTCAAGCGTTACTTTACACTGCGTTTATATAATAACGACCAGCTCACCGTTATATTTTAGATATTTCTGTTCGTCATTGCTACAAGTATTTTAACGGTCGGGGACTAACAGATTATATAGCTTCCAACTGCGTTCATTCAGGGTAAGAAAACAAAACACAAGAAAAAGAGGGCGCTATATATATATGTTTATTGAGCTTCTTTAATTTCACGTTTTTAACGTTCATTCATTCACAATTACACTAACGAACAGAGCGCTATTTTAATATCTTTATGGATATGTGTATTTAATTACATAAAGCAGTTACGTGCCCGAGTATTTACAATTTAACTCCATATACACATATACGCTGCCATCCCATAGATATTAAGAGATGTATTTTTCCACTAACCAAAATTAAATCGATACCAGTGAATGACAGAGTGTAAAGTTGTTAAACGTCTTCAGGAAACAGAAAATCTGGCAATCTGACATCGTCGGTAAACACGTAATAACTGGTTACGAGGAAACCCCTGTTGGGCGGCTTTACCTCTCTCAGTTTCGTAAGTTTTAGAACAATCGCGTTTTACAATCATTGCTATCGAAGTTGCCGTCACGCGTACTTTACCTGTTCACGTGTGGTATGGTGGGTTACTTTCTCGTTATAGGCACATCGACATGACCGCTATAACCAAGTCTCATTATCTAATGACAATTCAAACACACAACGCCCTTTGCGTTCATGCATTGTGCATATCTGCGTAGGTTCTTTTACTCGAAACACGTTTACACATAAGTGTATTAATATTTATACACTTGTATCACCGAAAATGAAGTACACCAAGCATGACCCCTTACATAAAAAACGTGTTCTGTTATAACGTTCATATGACCCGTATTTTAGTATGTGATCGGATAGAGATGTTTCTAATCGGTTGAAAAGGAACATCGTGTGTTTTCACATAATAGAAAATTCCCTAAATATTGCATTTAACCAAAAAAAAAAAATCAGTCTGAAACATATCTTCACTTCGAAAATTTTTAAAAAGTTTGTTTAACTCTGAGTTTGTTGTGATTTGTGATATAATAACGTAGTCTAACAAGGGTTAAGTTTGAGATGTATAAAACAATGTTTGCATATCACCAATTGTATCGCAAAGCAGGCCCAACTTTGTCAGGTGTTCTTGGGTTAAGGACCGAAAACTCCGATGGCAGCGAGGGTACTCAACATGACGACCTAGGGCTCACAGAAGATATTTGTTGTTTGCCTGTTATTCATAATTAAGACTATTTATTACTAATTTCAATTATAATTTTAGAACATTAGCAGCTTTTCTGGTAGACGTTATTGTTTAATTACAGTAATTCCACTAAACAGGTACAGTTACATGTTTTGTAGATTACGTTACAATGAAATCCAGAGCATTTTGTTACATAAAGTTTAACCATGTCGAAGTAAAAGTGCATTGTCTAGTCTAAATACGGGTGTTTTAATGAATAAAACAGTACAGTTTTTATGTGAGAGATCGCGCTTGTAAGGGCACTGTTTGTGTGAAAAGGAACTGCGATTTGTTTTTACTGTTTAATAACCGAACAAAAGTGATGTATCAGTTCGTTAAGAAAAGCTCAATATGGCAAGTAAAAATAAAATGTATCTGGCGCATGAACAGCAGTATATTGGTATTTTGTTTTACTGTACTTATCCTGATTGCCGTCACTTCATTCCAGGTACGTAGTCTGACTACTATAAATAACTAGAGAATTCACAATCGTCCCTCGTTGTTATATTTCTAACTGGTATAAATAACTAAACGATTCACAGTCTTCCCTCGTTGTTATATTTTAATTCAATAAAACTAATAAAAGACTAGCTGTTCCTAGGTTTGCTTAATTTTAAATTTGTTTTTTTAAAGCCTCATTGTTTGGTATGATTTCCATGAACTATACAAGTAGTTTAATAATGGCTGGAGACGGCTTAAATGGGTAATGAAGAAAAAC